ACTCCGAGACAAAAGAACCCTCGCTGGACTTTGCTGACCTGTCATGCATATTGGACCCATAAGTGTTGAAAGAGCAGACACGATGACGTAATATGGGCCCACATGTTCCCTCTTCCGCAGACCATAACTCCGACAAAAAAATATTACAAAGTCGATGCACGGCAATTGTATCGTCCAAGTCCATGCCTAAAATTACCATAGATTTTTATTAGTGTGGCTTCCACGTGTACATTCTTACGTGGAAAGTGACGTGGGTAGAAATAAGGCCTTCCCTTCACTATAAATAGGTTCCCACTTACAGGTACCAAACCACACACTTAAAATTAACAATCTCTGAGAATTAAGTGCTTTATATCTTCTCTTCCACTTTCAGTTCTCTCTTTTCTATTTTTCATACACAATATATTATGGCTGTTGATTCTGGTCTTTCATCTCCTCTTGGCCCTCCGGCATGCGAGAAAGACGCTAAGGCTCTTCAGTTCATTGAGGAGATGACTAAAAACACTGATTCAGTACAAGCTAAAGTGTTGGCTGAAATACTAAGCCGAAATGCCAATACTGAGTACCTCCAAAGATTCAAAGTTGGTGGTGCTACTGACCGAGACACGTTCAAGTCGAAGGTTCCCGTTGTCACGTACGAGGATCTTAAACCTGATATTGATCGGGTCGCTAATGGCGATCGTTCTCCAATCTTCTCGTCTCTTCCTATTTCAGAGTTCCTTACCAGGTCAGATTTCCTTTAAGGCAAATAGAAGTCACTGTATCTTAATGGTACATATATATATTTGTTCTAAGTAGTAGCAGTGCCTAGTACTTTCTTTATTTTCTTTGATGCAAATTTCTTTTCTAGTTTACTGCTAATATGTTGTATTTAATATCATATTGAAATGTTCTTTTGGTTTTATTTATAGTTCGGGGACGTCTGCTGGAGAGAGAAAGCTGATGCCCACAATTGCAGATGAGCTAGAACGCAGACAGAAATTGTACAGTCTTCTCCAACCCGTGATGAATCTGTAAGTGATCTATCCAAGGTTATTGCTATGTTATAACATGCATGACATCTTTACTTTATAAAATTTCTAATTTCTATATGGAATATAGTTGGTAATCCAACGATTTTCAAATTAACCCCCATTAAAACAAAAATATTAATTGCTGAAATTAACATTAGCCTTACTTTTTGATATGGAGAAAAAAATTGAAAATTTGTAATCAGGATTAATGTTGGATTTTCTTGGACTCATGTTAAACAGGTATGTGCCTGGTCTAGACAAGGGGAAGGGATTATACTTTCTGTTTATAAAGGCAGAAACGAAGACTCCTGGTGGCCTTGTTGCACGTCCAGTCCTGACTAGTTACTACAAGAGTGAACAATTCAAGACTAGGCCATACGACCCTTCCAATGTCTACACAAGCCCTAACGAGGCTATCCTCTGTGTAGATTCTTTCCAAAGCATGTACACTCAAATGCTTTGTGGCCTTCTAATGAGAGAAGAAGTTCTCCGAGTAGGCGCTGTTTTCGCTTCAGGCCTACTTCGTGCCATCCGTTTTCTTCAACTCAATTGGCAGCAATTAGCTCATGATATTGCAACAGGAACCCTAAACCCTAAAGTTTCAGACGTTTCTATCAGAAATTGCATGTCCAAAATACTCAAACCAAATCCTGAACTTGCTGAGTTTGTTACTAAAGAATGTGAAGGCGACAATTGGGAAGGAATCATTACTAGAATTTGGCCAAACACAAAGTACTTGGATGTCATAGTCACAGGTGCAATGGCTCAATATATTCCTACACTTGATTATTATAGTGGGGGTCTACCAAAGGCTTGTACAATGTATGCATCGTCCGAATGTTATTTTGGTCTCAATTTAAAACCAATGTGCAAGCCTTCTGAAGTTTGTTACACTATCATGCCAAATATGGGCTACTTCGAATTCATCCCACATGACCCAGCCAACCCGGTACAAATCTCTCGTGATTCACCCCCTCATCCCGTGGACCTGGCTGACGTAGAATTGGGAAAAGAATACGAGCTCGTGATCACAACTTATGCTGGATTGTGTCGTTACCGAGTTGGTGACATACTCCAGGTTACCGGGTTTCACAACTCGGCACCTCAGTTCAAGTTTGTTAGGAGAAAAAATGTGTTGTTGAGCATTGACTCGGACAAAACTGATGAGTCTGAATTGCAAAAGGCTATTGAAAATGCAACAGCACTTTTGCGCCCATATGATACTAATTTGGTTGAGTACACGAGTTTTGCTGATACAAAGACAATTCCGGGGCACTACGTGATTTACTGGGAATTACTAGTAAAGGACCCAACCAACCCACCGAGTGAGGAGGTGTTGAACCAGTGCTGCTTGGCTATGGAAGAATCATTGAACTCAGTGTATAGACAGTGTCGCGTTGCGGACAATTCAATTGGACCTCTTGAGATTAAAGTGGTGAAAAATGGGACATTTGAAGAACTGATGGATTATGCAATTTCGAGGGGTGCATCAATTAATCAGTATAAGGCTCCAAGATGTGTCAATTTTACTCCTATTGTGGAACTTCTTGATTCCAGGGTGGTTTCTGTGCACTTCAGCCCAGCTGCTCCTCACTGGACCCCAGAACGACGACGTTAGATGATATCAAGTCAAGTAGTCTCGGTGTGTAATAAACATGGCAAAAGCCAGAAAGATCCGGTTAGCTACTAACCAAAATGCTCGGACAGTGAACCAAAAAGAATATTTGCCTTCGGCTCTGTCCTCATCACTTTAATTTACCTTTTCTGTATCTCCTGTTGGTGTTACGTTGAACGTTCAAAGTTGATTATGGTCTTTGTTTATGTAAAGAGTCGTTAAGTGTATGTAATTAAACTATGAATGCTTTGGTTGTTGTGATTTGAATTACGCGACAGATGCATGCGTTCCTTTCTTTTTTCTTTTATGGCTTAGTAATAATGGTCCATGAAAAAGACGTAGCAATATTTGTGTTACAGCAGCTCTTTGCTTCTTTCCTTGTTATGCTTTCCTTTTTACGTGCATGGATTTTATGCACCTGGTGTATATTCTCTTCCGCTTCTTTCTTCTTTAATTTCTCCCTTTTTGTGACCAAAAAAAAAGTTAGTATCAAGCTTTACTAGTCTTCAATTTCAAATAGTCAGTCCAAGATTAATTGAAATATCTTCTTAAATTAGTTTGGAGGTTAGCTAGTGAAAGATGAGTTAATTTAATTGATGCTTAAATCATGTTCGCTTATATATATTCTAGGCTTTTGGCAGTACATCACGAAACATTTAGTTTATGGATGCCTCTACTTGTATGAATTCCAGTATAATTTTATACTGGCAACACTACGTCAGCACCACGTAGAGCGGTTTCACTTTTTGTATACGTACATGGTTGCACTATGATGCACTTCAAATTCAATTATTTGGAATTCCTCATTAATTACTAGGGTAATATTTACTTTAGTGAGAGAGATAAATTCAATTATTTAGAATTCCTCATGATCATTACTATTTACTTTTTGTTCATTTCTTTTTCTTGTGTTCCATTTCTTTTCCCTTCAAAGGGAATGAAATTCAGTCAAAAAGAGAGGCGGCCAGTAATAATGTTGAAAATTATGAGTCAACTCAGAAATCGGAGATCTGAGCATAGTCGATTGATGATTTTACCGCTTTAAGCAGATTTAATGGAGTAGTTTTTAACTTTTTAAGTTATTTGAAATCGCGTCATAAAGTGTTCTTCCTGGATGCATGCATGATTAAATAAGAAATTTGCACCTCAACAGCATAGTTTACTATTTTTGGTACATTATATTAGTCTTCCGACTTTTCCCTATTCATGCTTGCCTTTAATAGTGTTATACCTTCCAAATTGACCACCTGAATTTTCCAATAGGACTTATTCTTTACGGTACTGACAGATGACATATATACTGTCAAGGATGTATAAAAACTTAAAACAAACTTAATTTTAATCACTTTGAGACAAACCGCCAACTTTCTTTTTTCTTTCAGAATAATTATTAATCTATTAATAATCTATGAATCTATTAATCTATATCTATATATCTATCTATATTTACTTAAAAGAAAGAAAGTCAGCCATGGGATTTTGCCATTTGTCAGGTGCATAGAATGCCATGTGGCATTTTTTAGGACAAATTAGTTATTTTAGGTTAAAGTAGTTTCTCTTTTTAAATTTTTAAGTTGAAAATACTTAATTAGCTATTTTATATTTTAAAGAATAAGTAGTTTCTACTATTTTATTGGAAAAGTGAATCCCACGCCATTTGTTAGTTTAGGTTAAATTACTAAACTGAATCCCACGCCATGTGTTATTTTATTTGAATTTAAAAACAATTCATAGGTATATCATTAAACTATTCAATTATTACATTAACTTACCAGTAGTTTCTACGCCTATTTGCCCTAGAAAGAGGAATTGGGAATTCAGCTCTTCAGACCCACGCCCTTCCTTCGCCTATTTGCCCTAGAAATAGCAATCCTACAAATTCGGCTTTTATCCCACGATCTCTCACCACGATTTCAACTCCTCGCCCGCGCATTCCTCTTTCCGACATTTTCAGTAACATGATTTCACAGTTTTCTCAATTCAGTTTTCTACTTTTACAATATATACTTCTATTCTTTCTCCCTCCTCTGCATATCAAACAGCAATTGTCAACTACAAGAGGTGATGTATGATTTGTATTTCATAAACAATCTTTATTACAATTGAGATTGTATATAGATTTCTTGATAGATTTTTCTGTGAAGTTTGTTGACGACATAACTCCTATAGCAACTGTTGTTTACCAATCTTAGGATTATACCACAGATTCTTGCTGATGATTTTTTGGAGAATCGTCAGCAAAAAGTCAATTATTTCACATGATATGTTGCTTCATATGTGTTTCTATAAGTAGCTTCATATGTGTTTCTATAAGCATTTTGTTGTAGTTTGTACTAATATTTATGAATACCTCTGTCTATATTCAGGACTTAATGGCGGCTCAAGTAAATTTCGTTAGCGAAATTAACAGCAAGTCAATGAATTGGAAATTAAAGGTTCGTGTTGTCAGGCTTTGGGAAAATCCGGATCGCGACAGACCTGATACGCCTTTTTCTATTGAGATTATTGTGATGGATGAAAAGGTATTGATTTAAACTGAACGATTACTTTCTATTTGCATTCTTTACATATGAATAAATATATTACAGTCATATACAAAATAATTTAGTCATTTTAACTAATTGACTATTTTTTTTAGGGCGACCGCATTCACGCAAGTATTGGCAGGTTCAATCAACAAATTAAGGAAATGGGTTTGTACATCATGAAGAATTTCGTGGTTTGTCCAAATAATATGAAACTGAAGACCAAAGACCACAAGTTTAAGTTGATGTTCACGCATAAGACCACTGTTGAGGAAATACATGATCCACATTTCAACATGTGCATCTTCAAATTTAAAACATATGACCAGCTATCAAATCCTCAGGAATTTGACAATACGGAGCTATTCGGTAATTAAATTACTCTCATTTTTTCCAGTTTCATTTTACTTTTAGTTATTTGTTATATGAACTAAGTGAGAAATAATTCAATATAACTAAACATGGCAGTAAGTAGTAGCTAAATAATAATTTCCCTATTGCTACAGTCTATAAATAGGACTACTTGATAAATCAGTGAAATTTCAAGTTTTCAAAGTAGGTTGATGTTGTTGATACCGGAGAGAGTTCACAGAGAGAAGTTTGCCAACTATGTCTTACTCTCACATGTGCATGAGTTAATCGTTCTATTTTGTATAGACTTAGTAGAAATAAAATGGCTATCCTATTGCCTTTCAAATAGACTCAGTCGTAAATGAACAACAACTATAATTAGTAAGAGAAAATATTAATTAATAAACACATTAAATAGAAAGGTAAACCTAACTTTCACTTAAGTTGTTATGTATAGCTGAAAGGTAACTACTTACTTTTGTGTAACTAATAAAAGTAATTGTAAAATTGAGGTGTCCTCCTTCGAAAATGACCATCTGATTTTTGTCAATCGTGGATACAATTTTTCGGTTTCAGTTAATATTCTTTAATCTCTTTTCTGTCTTATATGTTTGGTTTACCCATTGCTATATCTTAAGTAGATCATGAAATTAAATAATTCTTTAACGATCTTCATTTATATTGTCTATACTGATTACTAATTTTGAACAAATTTCAATGTTATTGTAGATGTTATTGGCGAAATTGTGAGCTATGAAGACGTACAATCTATCAAACAAGATGATAGCATCCGTATGTTCATGAACATTGAGATACAAAATTATGAGTAAGCTCGCCACAATTTATTAAACTAACTAAATATTTCAATAATTCTTTAATTTGATTCCTATGCTTAACCTTATAATAATTGTAGGAGCAATACTATTTCTGCAACTCTTTGGGGAGACTTTGTCGAACAGATCAAGCTGTATTTGAATGGATCCAATGATAAGCCTGTTGTCATCGTCATGCAATTGATTAGAGCACATCGATATCGAGGTTATTAAATTGTCTACTTACATTACAATATAATGTCTTTATACAATTAGTAAAATCTTAAAAATTACTTTTATGTGTATAGAACAATATTCGGTGAGGAACACTTGGCACGCGTCGAAGCTTTGGATCAATTCAAATCTTCCTCAAGTTGTTAACTTTTGCTCCAGGTCTATAAGTTATACTTAATTAAAGGATATTTCAAATCAATTTTTAGTGTTAATAATTCTTAATATATCTCAACTTAAAAATAAAATAGAATGGTTTCTGTGCGTGGAGAAAGCTCACAAAGAATTACTCAAATTTCATCTCACAAAACTCATTCTATTGCTGATGAGCTAGCATCTGGAAGCATTGAAGTTAAAACTATTGAGGATCTGAGTGACTGTAAGCATGTGAGTACCTACTTTAACTTTTTATCCTTCTTTTCTCTCCATAACATTTGTATATACAAATTTTATGCGCAGCCAGGAGATTTTTGGGTTGTAGCAACACGTAGAATAAGACCGTGGATGGTGTTATTTAGCATGCAAAAATTGCGCAAAGAAACTCGACAAAGAGGGGAAAAAATTCTATAGTAAAAAATGCGAGCAGATTCAATCTCCCACTCATAGGTATGCCCATAATTTTTAGTTTTATTTTACTATTATTAAAGATTAAAAGTTAAAAGCACAAACTCTTTTCAGGTACAGGCTACAAGTTAAGGTGATGGATTGCACCGGTACTATTTCTTTGCTGTTGTGGGATAAGGATGCAGCTAAGATTATTGGAAAATCGGCAAATGATTTAAAGGATGCTATATCCGAGGTATAATACAATTGTTTAGAAAAATAACACCATCAACTTTGAATTAAGTGGTACATGATCCAATCCCCTGCATCTCCTTTCGTTCTTATTTTTGGGGTAGTTTAATTTGTGTTTATAAGCTGGGATAGTTTAATTTGTGTTTATAAACATGTGAGCATTGTTATACTTTAAAGTTCCAATTTTAAGTTACAAAGTCAGCACTGAATGTGGTGAAACTTCCTCTATTGACCTTCACATTATCAGAATGGCTTGAACTTTTTGCTCTTAATGTTATTTTGCATGCGTTTTCTTTTATCAATTGGAAAATTAAAATGTAGACCAATGGTTGCTGCAAAGATCTTTACTACAAAGTTAAAGGTATTAAAGGTGTGACGCCCCAAATTTCGCTCCTCTTTAAAAAGATAAACCACCATTTATTCGTGCTATATATAGAGTTTTGGGACACTTAATCCCTAAATGAGAGCTTAAGTGTTGAAAAATGGTCCGTAGTCGGAACAGTGTGAAGACAATCTCGGAATGGAAATCTGATGGTTCCGTTAGCTTCGTTAGGTGATTTCGGGGTTGGGAGCGTGTCCGGAATGTATTTTGGAAGTCCGTAGCTTATTTAGGCTTGAAATGCCGAAGTTTGAATTTTTGAAGTTTCCGGTCCAATAGTGAGTTTTCTATCCGAGGGTTGGATTGAAATTCCGGAAGTTACAGCAGTTTCGTCATGTCATTTGGGATGTGTGTGCAAAATTTCAGGTCATTCGGACGAGGTTCGGGTAGGTTTTTGATCGAAAGCGTGTTTTGTTGGAAATTGAAGTTCCTAGGCTTAAATCCTTGATTTAATCGGGTTTCCGGTGTTGTTTTAGGTGTTTTTAAGATTGGTACAAGTTTGAATAAGGTATTAGGTGGTATTGGTGCTTTTGGTTGAGGTCCCAGGGGCCTCGGGATAATTTCGGGTGGTTAACGGAAGAAGTTTGGAAGTTAAGAGGTAGCAGTTCTGCTGCTTCTGGTATCTTTTCGCTTCTGCGGCTTAGGAACCGCAGAAGCGGAGCCGCAAAAGCGGCCTTGGCTTCGCAGAAGCGATTTTTGGTCACCTTCCAGGAAACCGCAGAAACGGTAGGAATTCCGCAGAAGCGGATCCGCTTCTGCGAGATGGGAACCGCAGAAGCAGAAGCTGGGATTTTAAAGGAAGCCGTAGAAGCGGCCAGTGTTCCGCAAAAGCGGGACTGCAGAAGCGAAAATCCCTGGGCAGAAATAGAAATGTCGAGGGTTTAATTTTAGAAGTTTGCAAAATCATTTGAGAGCTCGGTTTAAGGCGATTTTGAGTGGGTTTTGAAGTGAAGATCACTGGGTAATGTTTCTTTGGTCCCTTCTTGTTATATTTCATCATTATATAGTTAAATACATCATCGGAATTCGAATTTAGGATAAAAAATTGGATAATTTAGGGTAAAAACTTCATTACCTAAACTATTGAGTTTTGAGTGGGCATTTGACCTTCGATTTGGGAGATTTTTATATGGTTAGACTCGTCAGGGTACGAGGGTTCTAAAAATGTAAAAATTATTCGATTCCGAGGCGTTGCCTTAAGGGCATTTTGGTCATTTTACCTAATTTCACGCCGTAGCTTTGAATTTAATTGCAAAACCAGGTGTTTGCGATGTTATTTACAATGTGTAATTGAATTGAATAGATTTGGGCCATTTGGAGTCGGATACTCGTGGCAAGAGCGTGGTTTCTAGTTGATATTGAGCCGGTTCGAGGTAAGTGGCTTGTCTAACTTTGTGTGGGAGACCTTTTCCCTTAGGATATGATCTTGAATATTTGAATGCCTCGTACGTGAGGTGACGAGCGCGTACTTGAGCTAATTGTTGTAAATCCGTTTCTACTTGAAGTATTTAAATTGAGATTTCTTGTTTACTTGTTCATTTTAACTGTAAGTTTGTACCTGTGCTAGCTTAGAGACTTATGTTTAACTGGCTTACTTGCTTTATTTGCTTTAACTGTGCTATTTGTACTCTGTGAAGCATGTTAGGCTATAATTTACTACTTCGTGTCCTGATTTTTAGCATTGTTCCGAGATTTATGAATCGTTGTTGTTGTGTGTTTAATTTGGGACTACGGGACGGCTTCCCGGGAGATCCCCCTGTACTTGAGATATTCTGGACTGAGGGTGCGGGATAGCAAGAGATCCCTAGCACATGTGTTTCTATATATATATATATATATATATTGGGATACCAAGAGATCTCCGACTTACCTAGTGAGGATACCAAGAGATCCTCGGGATACCGAGAGATCCCCAGTGTTGATGATGAGGATACCAAGAGATCCTCGGGATACCAAGAGATCCCTCGGCTGCCATTCCTTGTTGAGAGCAGTTCTCCGTGTATTGTTACCTTTGTTTTCTATTAATGTTCTCCCTTATTTACCTGGTTTAGATTCTCGCTGTAGATTTTATTTAAATTGTTTCTGTTATCTCATTATTTATTATGTTATCTCAGTAGGGCCCTGACCTTCCTCGTCACTACCCAACCGAGGTTAGGCTTGGCACTTACTGAGTACCGCTGTGGTGTACTCATGCCTCTTCTGCGCATGTTTTTTTTATTCATGTACAGATCCAGGTACTTCCTCCCAGGCGTATCATCCTCGTGGTGGAGAGTCCTAGCTGAGACTTGAGGCATATCTGCTACGTCCGCAGACCAGGAGTCTCTACTCTATTCCGGCTTTAGCAGATAGTTCTTTTCTTTCCTTTCATGTTGTTTAGACATTCTGGTGTAGAGCAGATTACTACATTCTATTAGCCTGTGTTTCCCGTGAGTTTCCGGGTTTTGGGATTTAGTTGTAGACTTCCGCATATTTTTGAGTTGTATAGGCCGAGTGGCCTTATATACAGTTGTTATTTCCGTATGTTCAGTTTTAATTAATGTTTCCGCAAATGTTAATTTGTTATTCCGCACTGTTAGGCTTACCTAGTTTTAGGAACTAGGTGCCATCACGAAATGTTCATGGAGGGTGAACTGGGGTCGTGACAAGTTGGTATCAGAGCTCTAGATTCATAGGAGTCACGGAACACAGGCCGATTTATTAGTCTCGCTGATCGGTACGGAGACGTCTGTACTAATCTACGAGGGGCTATGTAACTGTTTAGGAAAAATCTTCATTTCATTTGAATTCCTCGTCGTTCGATATTTTTGGACATCAATTCTAAACTTCTGACTTCTATTCTCTCACAGATGGTGAGGACACGTGCTACTCGAGATGATCAGGCACCCGTGCCCCCTCTGCAGCCGCCAGAGGCCGGGGCCGGGGGAGAGGTCGAGGACGCGCACGTGGTGCAGCCAGAGCACCTGCGCGAGCTGCCGCCGAGGTACCACCAGCAGATCCAGCCGGAGCCCAGGCACCTGGCACACCTACTACTGCCACTACTACTCCAGCGCTCCAGGAGACTTTGGCTCAGTTTATGAGCATGTACACCACCTTGGCTCAGGCAGGGTTGCTTCCCATTGCTGCAGCCATATCCCAGGCCGGGGGAGGAGCACAGACTCCCGCCGTCTGCACTCCTGAGCAGCGAGTGCAGGTTGAGCAGTCTCCCGAGATTATTCCGGCACCGCCTGCAGCACCAGTTCAGCCCGAGGATGGGTCAGCTGCTTCAGAGGACGAGCAGCGGAGACTTGAGAGGTTCAAGAAGTATGATCCCCAGTGTTTAGTGGATTAGCATCAGACGATGCCTTGGGATTTCTAGAGGAGTGTCATCGTATTCTTCGCACTATGGGCATAGTGGAGTCCAGCGGGGTTTCTTTCACTGCTTTTCAGCTTCGGGGAGCCGCCTATGATTGGTGGCGGACTTATGACATAGACAGTCCAGTCGAGATTGCTACACTGACTTGGACCCAGTTCTCGGATATGTTTATGAGAGAGTTTGTCCCCCAGAGTCTCAGGGATGCATGGCGCGCAAAGTTTGAGCATTTGCGCCAAGGTGCTATGACCGTTTCAGAGTATGCTATCTGTTATACCAGGTTGGCCAGGCATGCACTGGCTTTGGTTGCTACAGTTCGGGAGAGATTTCGCAGGTTCATTGAGGGTCTTATTCCACCCATCAAATCTAGCATGGCTCGAGATTTGGAGATGGACATTCCTTATCAGCAGGTAGTGAGCATTGCTAGGAGGATTGAGGGTATGCTCGCCAGGGAGAGAGGAGAGAGGGAGGCTAAGAGGT